CGAGCAAACGCGGTCCGCGAAGGCAGTAAACCCTCTTGCGGGAAGTCTGTGTCTGCGGCGGATGTCTCTGCTTTTCTTGTTGCCCGGAGTGGTTTTCTGCACAGCTGTGGGAGAGGATGTGGTGCCTCGGCAGCCTGTTTAGCTTGTCTGTGTTGCTTCATTCTGGCTAGGGACTGGAGCCATGTGTTTCAAAGGTCCTTCACTGAGAGTGCGGGACGTGCTCTGTGCAGCACTTGCTGTTAGGCAGCAAAAGAGTGAGTGCAGCATCTGTGATGGGAGCTGGGGGCAGCTCTGAAGTAGGTGTCTTGGGCAATTCCGGGCTTCTGCAACTGCAGTTAACTGATTGCGCTGAGACACAGCGCTTGTATGTTCGTTTTGGCCTGTCTTACTTCAGAATTGGCAGTGCCTTCAGTGCTCTCAGAGGCTTCCAAGCGTATTGCAGAGCACGTAGGTTACAGTAAGCCAGTATGGACAACTCATAAGCATGCCTGAAAGGAGTGATTAATCACCTGCAATTTTAAGGCCAGCAGTCGGTTTTGTGGTGCCCTTTGGGATATTCCATTTCACTTCCTGTATAAGTGTTAAAGGAAAATATTTCTTAATATAAGGATAGAGGTCCTAAAATACTTAACGTCGAAAGTAAGATCAGTGGCAACGTTCATTGCCCTGTTGGTGATATTGTTGCCCTCTCCCACCTGGGGGGAGCACTGGGGGAATAAAACATTCCCAGTTGAGTCTGCCAGAGAAGCTGAGTGAGTCAGTTACTCCTTTTTTCTAAGGCTGCTACATTGACTAGCATCCTGTTCATGAAGGCTAAAATATTTGAGGAGAGCCTCTGACAATCCAAACATTCTCCAGTCATTAACAAAGCAACCTCCTGTATCCAGGAGAATCACAGTTGTTTCAATTACCCAGAGACATAGCTGTTGGAAAAAGGACAAGCTGTTGGAGGAAGCATGATATCCAGGCCCTAAAGCTAAGGGTGATGTGTGCTTTACATCTTGAGAAACAGCATTCTTTTCTGTTGCTGTAAATTCAAGCAGCAGATCAATGCACATGTGAAATGATGTGGAAGACTTGATTATACCCTATCTAGAAATAGCCAAGCAAGAACATCCTGGGGGAGGAACTGTAGTCCATTTCTGTTATTTATTTAAAAATCAATTTTCAATGGATGAATGTAAGTAGCAGTCCAGTTTTGTCTTTAATAATGTGTGAAAGAAAAAGTTTAAAAAAAAAATCAAAGACAAGCCAGAGTATATATTCAGGCTTAAGACAATTGAACATGGATTCAGAATCTCTCATTGGCCCAAGAATCAGAGTTCTGGTATTCCAGGCAAGTTACTGTGGTAGTCTGGTTGTTCTCGGATAGCAGAGGGATGAACTGCTGTAATTTAAAGCAGATTTCAGGTAAATGTAACATTTGGGAGCTGGCTAAGAACTAGTCTAAAAATCACACAGCTACAAACAAGTTTCTGATACAACTCATTTCATGCAGCAGAGATGCTTGCCTATCGGCTCTTAAACTGTTATATTTTGCCAAAATTGCACCCTCACAGGAAAGTCGCAAGGAAATTGCAATTATTCAAAAATACACTATGTAGGAACACTGAATAGCCTTCACAGTGACTTCCATATTGTGGGAAATGCATAACTTGACCTTTATAAAAACATAAAGGGCAGGCTTTTCGGATTTTGGTGATTTGTCCTTAAAGGTGGTTAAAGAAAAGATGTCACTGAACTCTACGTATTTTCACTTCAAAATAAAACAAAAAATTAAAATGACATTCTTAAAGGCTAGTAATTGGCTATTGGAACAGGGCTTGGGGTGGAATATACTCTTCACCATCACAAAGCAGGAGTAGGTTAAGAAGCTCCCAATCAGCCTGGCTTGTGGTCGATTCCCACACTTTAAAAAGGCGATAAGTTTGTGTCAACTGAAGTGATTAGTGGGGAGTGTCTCTCTTAAGAGAACCTGACCAGCTTGGAGGTAAGTGAGCTACTGGAATGCTGTTACTTGGGACATGACTTACCTGCATGAGAATCCCATCACTAACCTGGAAACTGTATGCATGGGAGGCCTAGTTAACCTTGTGAAAAGTGCTATTGAAGTAGCAGTTACTCAGCTGACAAGCTGGATTATTATGTTTCAAGGAGCCAAAGCTTTTTTGAGAGCCAAGTGTTCAATCCCTAGTCAGCTGAAACCCAAGGTTAGAAATTTAATTGATGTTATATGTATATATATCTTTTTTTTTTGAATAATTGTGTCAAGCCCAGAACCTTTTAAGGTAGGGAGTACTTTGAGTCATTGCTGTCACTGGGCAGTCTCCAGCCTTTATATTTAATATGATCTTGAGTTAGCAAGCCAGTAAAGAGCAGGTTTGCAAACTCCCATGAGTACCTCTGCTTTTTCTACCTTGCAGTGTCATTTCCCCAAGCCTATACCTGCTGGTTCTCAGACACGAGCTCAGTTAACGATGGTGTTGGGAAAACAAGGTGACTACAAGGCCCAGCTTCAGCACAAACGGAGACATAGTTAAAGATTCTCAGCTGAATTAATTGTAGTCTGCCCAGGCAGATCCAGATCTATATGTAATAGGTGCAAAATAGGGCTGGTGACAGGATGAAACCCTATGGACCTGCACGTGTGTACCTGCACGTGTTTACGGTAGATGAGCTATCGCCTGTGACAAAAGGTTGGGTCCTCTCTCAACTGAATCACCTGAACCACTGCAAAGTGATCTCACCCAGTGATGTCTGAATTGTCTTCTGCGTGCTGATGCTGTGAACAAGAGCAGAAACACTCCTTTCAATGTTTATACAAACATTCCAGCACCTAGTTTGTGACTCCTACAGAATGCTTCAGGCTGAACTGAAATTACAGCCTTCCTCTGAGTGTTTAAACACCTTGGATAAACTAGTTTTAGTACAAAGCATTTCTGAGAAAGCCGGGTCTCATCTGAGAAGCCTCATTTAGACTTTAATCAATTCAACCTACTGCTGTTGTAACTTGATTTTTTTTTTTTTTGTCCAAATACAAGACTGTTGTATTCTCAGTTAACCAGCTGCGGAGTTTCTTTCAGTAGTCAAGATGGGGGGGGGAGGGGGAGGAAGGGTATTTCATACCATGCTTCAAAATACTGTGGCATTGTGAGTATTTTTTAGGTGCCTGTTCTGAAATTGCTAGTAAGTGTTGTGCTAACAGAACTATGCTGGACGAGCATTTTTAATAGGTTTCTGTTGATAGGGTGATTCAGATTTTAATGTGGGCAAGCCAAGTAGCAATGTCTGTTATTTGTTAATGGGAGTCTTTCTGGCAAAAGTCTGAGAGCATTTCTTATAGTGTGTCTAGGTGAAGTGAGGCAAGAGGCTGACTGCATGAAAGCACTGTTGACTTTGTGATGGCTTAGTAGCGCTCTTTCAGTCAAGCATCCACCCAAAAGCGTACTTTCTAGTGATGGTTGGATCTGCACTTTGGAATACTTTAAATGTCTACCCTTAATTCTTTTTAATATAAGAAAAGATTTAGAGTGTTTCCAAGCACAAGGAATTGCATCATATAGTAGAACCAGGATAACTGCAATGCATTTGATAGCCCATCTGCTCTGA